TAAGATTAATGGAGACTGCATGCGTAGTTTGAGCTTTGCAGGGGTAGCTTATTTCAAAAGAAATAAGTTATATGTCACGTGATTGCAGAAGCAAGTGAACTTATGGATTGTTTAAGATCGCTAAGCTTTTTCTTAGTATAATCAAGAGATGAAGCTTTGTGTTTTAAATTATTAAATACTAGGTATGTGATATGGGATGTCACGTTAGCTTGAAAATATGATTTGGCTAAAAGTGTTGCATAAGAATTGATTTTTTCACAAATTTTCTTATCCTTTTTACTTACCTTTACTCTTACGAAGTTTTATTAAAAAATCATACAAAAAAATTTGATCAAAAATTTTGTTCAATGAATAATAAGAGCAACAGGTGCTAACATGCAAACCATCCTACTTTGTCGCTACATGGGAATCTTCTGCGGGAAAGCGTTGTACGTGATAAAAATCTGTTATACGGTCTATAGAATATTTTATTAATTATGTGTTGATTAGAACTGAAGAGGAGAGTGCAGCTAAATAGAAAAATTCTCATCACTAGGGTATTTAAAGGGACTGCTCGTCACTCTTATGGCGTAGGTAGTGACTGACGTGTAGATAATACTTACTTTGCTTGTAAGTGCGTTCTCATTTTGGTTTTAAAATAAAAATTAGTACTGCTTATCTTAACTGNATTCTTACAATAGTTTGGACAGGGAGTATTCCTATTCTACTTTCAAGAGAAATGACTCCCCACAGAGCTTTCAGACTTTCTTTAGACTTGAGCACTATAGAAAGTGTATTTTTTTAGTTTGAGCCATATAAACAAAAATTTCGTAATGTAGAAGTAGTAATTTGAGATGAAGCTTCCATGATATCGAAAAAAGCATAAGGAATCGTTTACAGACCTTTTTAAAGGCTTATCTAGAAACAATAAACCTTTTGTAAGTAGAGTAATAATTTTAGGTGTAGGCTTTTGTCAAATTTCCCCAGTAGAGAAAAACGGAAAAAAAATTGCTATTGTTCAAAAAACAATATAATTTTTTTTTTCCGTTTGTTTAATATTTTGGATAAAAAAGTCATATATGTTTGATTGATAGAAAATTTTCTTTATTGCTACTGGATATGGAAAAAGGCAAAATCAAAACTTTTATAATTTCTAAGATATGAAAAACAATTGTGTACATGTTTTTAAACTCTAAATAACATAATAATTTTTTTTATGACTTAAGCTATATTAACATCTTAAAATGAATGCACACATTATTAAAATAAAAAAAATTCTGAATGATATGGTAGAAACATAAGTAACTTATGACAGTATTGATAAAGCAACTCACAAAGAAGTAGATAAAACAGAAGACAATATCGATATTAATTTTTCTGCATAACATTAAAATAGTATTAAATAAGGTCTTGCTCCACATAAATTGAATTTAAAAATTAACACTATTGCTAAGTAAATACAAAATTTAAATATATTCAAACGACTTTGAAATGGTCTAACATTACAAACTACAAACTTATTTAAATGCAACTTCGAAGCTGAAATAATCACAGAAGAGGAAAAAAAGATGAAGTCCTTATTATAACAATAATACTAAATACAAACAATTTTTGTGTGCTACCACTTACTTTGTACAAAAATAAAAATTACCATTTATCTTAACATATATATATATATGTGTGTGTGTGTGTGTGCGTATGTGTTCGCGCGTGCGCGTGCACATATGCATATAGACGTATTTACATGTCTAGGTAGAGTCGAGCACTTACCCCACAACATTATAACCGAATAAAAAAAAGGTCTAAAATCGCCCTAAAATATTCCGTCCTGACTTTTTGACATCTAATGTTATCAACTCCGCTGATTACAAGAAAAACAGTCAAAAGATTAGCAGTGTTTCCAAATATTGCAAACATAAAGTTTATTTGCAATTTTTTTTAATAACACAAATGTCTCTTAAATGAAAACACGTAGAGCAAAACGGCTTGTACTTATCAAAAGGGCATACAGAATTTCACAAGACCAGATCTTTTGTTCAATTTTGATGGGTGCAAAATCTTAAAAGAACTATTAAGATAACGGTCATGTGATTTTGCAAACGAGACGACGGCAGTTAGGTAGCGTTGGCCAACTGAGCTTCGCTCCCTGCCCCACCACTGCTGTCAGCTGTGTATAGATAATACACATTTATATAAATTTCACAGTGAGGCAGAGCAGACGCCTTGCTATACCTATACCTACCGTCTCATGTGTTTAAACCTGCGTACGTTTTTTTCAGCTTTTGTGCATCATCGTTCAATACTGTGACTACTTAGTTTTGTGCGTTGTTTATTAAATGATACACATTCTAATAAATAAATTTCCCGTAATACAATAAGCCTACAGAACGCTTGTGTATTCAAAAAATTATGTATACCCTGCGTAGTCATTTCTTAGTGACCACATACGCTNGATATACAAATGATATAGCACCCATCAGAAATAACCTTACTGATCTCTTTTTCCTTTAAACAACAAATTGCTCAATACATTGGCAATTCAAAGCCTTAGAGTTGTGAGCTATGAAGGTAAAAGAAGTAACCGATTTATTTCAAAATCTTACTGCACATAATGCGTCTTTTTGACAAATTCATAAATATATTATGTGAGATATATTTTCTTATCGCCTCCTCAATCATTTTTATTGTTTGCTTACAATATTTGGTACTCGGACAAAAACTTTTAGATTCATTGTTATGGAAACGTTCCTGACCATAAAAGTTTTGTTTACCATCCGAACTTAGTTTTTTATTTGGGTTATTTTTATTACTGCATTTTGTGTTTCTATTGCAAGAAAAACAGGCAGAAATGCATTGATGACTTTCTACATAATCGTTTGATTTAATACATGCTATAAAACAATAACTTTACAGCTAATATATGCTTAATCTAATAATAATGACCTGTTCTATTGGTATTGATGACATTAATCGATAAAGACCAACTATCTACCACATCGTCATTACCATTAAGTATTAAATACAAATTATAAAGTAAAATATCATCATCAAATACATTAATACATTAATTATGGTGTTTAAAGTGTAGCTTGAATTAAAAAAAGTTAACCTATTCATACTCGTACTTATTATTTATTTATATACATGTCATACTCATGCATTAATTAGGTAGATACTGATTTTTGTTAATTCTCTATTTTTATTTTTATCTAAGGATGAGACCAGTTAGTTGAGCAAATTTTTCACTGTTAAGACTAAATTTCATATGTCCAGATTTAAAAGTCTTTATTGAATGTGACTCAGCACCATGTACAGAGTTACAGACAATTGTATCACTTCAGTCGATCTAATCTCCCTCAGCTTTTTTTTCTTGGGTCCTCGATCGTCAGCGTGTCAGCCCGCGCGCGGCTCGGCTGCTCCGCAGGAGCAGTACGCGCGCAGAACGAAGGAGGGCGTGCGTGCCGTCATCTTGTCGGACGTTGATCGCGGGAAACGAGCCGAAAAATAGTCGAACAATCCACCCGCATCGCTCCTGGAGTGACATACTATTCGCCGCCCGCCAGGGCGGGTCGGCCTTCTTGACCATCATGGGGTGGCGTTGCCGGACCGAGGTTCACTACGGGAAGCAGGGCCAGTTTGACAACCGGTTACACGTACTCGCCAGTTGCTGTCTTCACGGTGACCGCGCGCACCAATTCATCAGGACCAGGCTAGGCGCGAATGATGCAAACGCGCGCGCTCTTCGCCAAACGTTTCCGATTGGCTCAAACGGACGCAGGCCAGGAAGGCATCTTGAAGCCCGGCGGGAGTCAGTGGTGAGAGCACCGGCGTGACAGGTGGGCGACGCAACTGGCGCCAGACCCACCGACGAGTGCGCACGAGAACGACGAGTAGAGTGTGAAGCTTGAAATATCGTTCAAGTATGCTCGGCTCAGCCAGACGGGTGGCGTAGCAGGCCAACGGCAGGGGTGTCACCTCTTAAAGTGCTTACTGTGGCCAGGCTAGGTCGTTCTCGGCGAGCCACGGTGGACTGTCCGACCACAGGAGTTGTTGTCTGAGACCGGACATGTCCGCGCTTCGAGTAGCCACGTCAGCTTGAGTGGACTGCGACGGCACGTACCTCCAGGTGCTCGAGGGTAGCGTGGCCTGTATCTGGGCCACATAGTTGTCAACGAGGGCGTTGTTGGTTGGCTGATTGAAGTGAACCCATTGCAGCACAATGTGCGAGTCGCACCATGCGTGATAGCGCTCAATTGGAACTGCTAGTTCTTCGGCCGTCGAGCGCCGAAGCTTAACAGCCAGCAGGGTGGCGCGAAGCTCTAAGCGAGGAATGGTCATCTAAGCCACGAGCTTGACCATTAGCTTAAGAGCGCGGATGGGCGCCTGCTTCGTGCCAGCGAGGAAAATGTGGCAGCGGACAGAACCGTCCGCGGCCTGGAGTCTAGAGTACAGGACAGCAGCCATCGCGCGGCGGCTGGTATCGGAAAATACGTGCAGTCGAACGTCTGTGGACGCGACCATTCCGATCCAACGAGGCAGGGATAGACCGGAGATGGCTTGGAGCTCGGCGGCAAAGGCAGTCCACCTTTAAATTATAGACGACGGAGCAGACTCCTCACAGTCCAGGTTGGCTCGCCATAAGTCTTGCAGCAGGAGTTCGGCGTTCAGCACAATCGGCGCAAGCCAACCGCATGGATCAAACAGGCCCGCGAGAGCTGCGAGCATGGTCCTCTCGGTGGTTTGGTGCTGTACAGGGGGAGGTGTTAGCAGAAAGCAATCTGACAGTGGGTTCCAGCTCACACTGAGCTCACTGATGAGACCTTTGGCGCCAAGCTGAAACCAAGTATGCCGCAGGCGCACGTCGTCGGGGAGGTCGTCCAGCAGCTCGGGCACATTGGCTACCCACTTGCGCAGAGGAAACCTGCTGGTTTGCAAAAGTTTGATTAGCTGGTCACAAATATGTCGAGCCGTGGCGATGGCGTCGGCACCGGAGAGTATGTCGTCCACGTAGCGGTCGTTCATCACCACGGAAACTGCTTGGGCCAACGGTGTCCTTCGTCCTCGCACAGCTGCTGCACAGTGTGCATGGAGAGGTACGGTGAGCACGAAGCGCCATAGGTGACTGTCAACAGCTGGTAGTGCGTGGGCGGTTGGTTTGGATCAGGGCTCCACAAGATACGCTGTAGGTCAACGTCACGCTTGTCAATCCAGATCTGACGAAACATCATGCAGACGTCGCTGCAGAAGGCGATTCGGTGTCGTCGCCAGCGTAGGAGCACGCTGGGGAGCGCGGTTTGCAGTCTAGGGCCCGCGAAGAGGACGTTGTTTAAGCTGTAGCTGCTCGGTGTCGGTTTCGAGGCGTTGAACACGATGCGAAGCCTGCTGCCCTTATCGCTGCTCTGCCAGATGCCGTGATGTTTGATATAGTGCACTGTTTGGGATGATGCCGTGTGCAGATCGTCAGGAAGTGGCCTCATGTGGTCCAGAGCAATGTACTCTGCCATAAATTGCACATACTCAGCACCCATCGCTGGGGTCCGCTGGAGGCGACGATGCAACGAGTGAAGGGCAGCCGTGGCACTCTGCAGACTGTTGCCGAGCAGCCGTGCACTGTCGCTCTTCAATGGCAGACGAACGACATAGCGGCCATCCAAAGCACGATGGTGATCGAGGAAGATGCGCTCGCACTTAATGTCCTCTGGAGCGCGGCGGCTGACTTGCGGGACTTCCTCGAGCTCCCAAAAGCGCTGCAGCATCGCAGCCAGCTCGCAATGCCAAGACGGTGCTCCGTTCATGTGCAGTGTTAAGCCAACAGTAAAAGCTGCCAGCTGCAGGCCAGGAGCACGGCCGACGAGGGTCTAGCCAAAGATCGTGTGCTGACCGATAATGTTGCCCCGCCGGACGGATTCCACCTTTAATATGCGGCTGTAGACGTCGGCACCAAGGAGCAGGTCCACACAACTAGGTGGACTGAATGCGGGGTCAGCCAGAGGCTGAAGATCAAGCCACTGCTCGGCCACGGATGGGTGCAGAGGAGCGGACGGTGATACAAGCCTGAGCTAAGGTAAGCAGAGTGCCACCAAGGTGATTGGCGGCACATCTCTGCCCGGGTCGATGTGCAGATGGGCCCGAATTCTCGAGCGGACGACCGGCTTACCTCCAAATCCTGAAATGCTCGCATTGGTGTGCTCCAGCGTGGCGTTGAGCCGTCGCACCAGGTTCACAGAGACGATTGTGACCTCGGAGCACGCATCGAGGAGGGCTTGGACTGTCGAGCACCGGGCGGACGGCCCACTCAGCTGAACGAAAGTGGTCGGTAGCACGGCGAGTCAGGAAGAAGGCGACGGGCCCAGGTCGTCGGCATGGGTTGCACTAACGGGGTTGGCCTTCGGCTGATTTGGTGATGGCAGACCATCAGATGCATCTGATAGCCGTAGACGGCTGCTGTCGTGAAGCAGGCTGTAGTGCTGTTCTCGGCAGTGCTGACAAACAGATCGGGAGGGGCAGAACTTCAACATGTAGCCCGTTTAGAGGCAATTTAAACATAGTCAGGCTTGGTAGACCAGGTCTCGCCGAGCGTGCGCGTTGAGGCCTTGGAATCGAGCGCAGTGCCTCAGGTAATAGGTTTCGCTGTAGGATGGGCATGGAGGCAGAGTTTCGCCGGTTGCAAGGGAGCGATAGTGCTGCCTAGAAGATGATGAAGCTGGTAGACGGATGCTGGGCGTGCTCGCTGGCCGCGCTGGGCGAGATGCCTCAATGGAGATGAGAGCGCAGCACTGTCGTTGAAGAAATTTCGTCATGGCGGCGAAAGTCGCAGTCTCAATCCCAGCCCTTGTGTCGGCGCACCCTAGCCGCTCGAGCTCGTCCTCCCAGGCACGCCAAGTAGTTGGGTCCATGCCAGTCATGGCACAAGAGATCAGCTAGTTATTCCACTGGAGGACAGGATGGCCCAAAGCTTGCAACTGGTCCTGGTGGCGACCTAGCGTATCAAGGAGGCTCCGCAGACCTTTGGCTGACTCGTCCCATAAAGGCCTGATGTTGCGTAGCACCGTTAGATGATCGTGTACTAGAAGACGGCGGTGTTCAAATCGTACCTCGAGTGCGGCCCAAGGGGTCGAGTAGCTGGCGCCAACGATCTGGATCGCGTCGTGGGCTGTTTTGGCATCACCCTCCACGAGAGACTTCAAGTAAAACAGTCGCTCGACATCGGTGAGCTGTTGATCGTTATGCACTAGCGCTTGAAAAAGATCCCGGAAGCTCTCCCAGTCTTCTCTTTTCCCGGAGAAGGCGGAAATACGAATTCGGGGCAGGCGGGGTCCACAATTCGATGTAGCGCACCCGGGGCCTGCTCCACCGTTGCCAGGGCGTGGTGCGAGGGTGCTCCTCGCGTTGTAGAGGCGGACTCGTGACTCTATGTACTCAGCCTCCGATGTCGAGTACATTTGGGTTAGTGACTCCTGCTTAGTTTGCATGACGGCCAGCGCGAAACGAGCGATGACGTCTTCCAGAGCGCATTGGGCGCCAAAAAGGTTAGCCCAGCCTTTGTCGGACCTGAAAGAGCAATCACGAGCTTGACGGTTACACGAAGCTGCTATTGCCGTTGGGCCGAGCCTGGCTTTGTCCTTACTTCCACAAATTAACACGTATGTGTGCGGTTATATGACCGAGGAAAGAAGTGAGAGCAAGAAAGAGAAAGACTCACACCTTATGTACACACACACGCACATATGCACCTACATGTCCATGCGGGCGCGTGGACGCTTGCGTGCATCACGCATGGAAAAAAAAAAGTTAAATGCTAACCTTAATAACCGCCCGTATTGCGTTTGCTCTAGTCACGACAAGGTTTAGGTACACCCGTAAGAAAGGCAATGTGGCCGCTGCTACCGACAAAATAACCACTACCAGCGACACGGCTTCATGTCTGCCGTGGCCGTATGTATGACAAGCGCTGGACCACGGGCTATGCGGTGGCCATGGCAGCCTTGTATTTAACTTGTGACGCGGATGCTCGTGAGGCACGCGTTAGTGGCAGCACGATCTCGTTGTGGCATGATCAGGCACCGCAAGCCGGACCACGGGCACGATGGTGGCCGCAATGGCTCAATACAACCAACACACCAGTAATAGTATACTTACATTATGTTGTGTGCTGAATGCTTTCTTTGGTGCTGTTTGTTTCTTACTTGCTCGGAATCTGGCTCGAAAGACCATTATACAAGAGCCTTACTGGAGAAAGGTTATCTTTTCTATTTATCATTAACACGTTTTTTACTTAAGCTATTTATTATATTCTCTTATAAACCCCACTCTCGTCAAGTGTCAGTCTATCCTAGATGGTTAATTACTAGTGGTGTTATTTTCTTTAACAACCAATGTGATTCCTCAAAAAGTTTTTTTATTTGACTCTCAGGTATTTGCCATATCTCTAAGATAAAAAGTTCTAAATGTTATCACGCAACAAGTTGTTTAAATCGATTTTATAAATTTTTTCAAGTGAAGCTTCTTATGTCAGGCCCTTGATTGACAGAAAAAAAGCGTCACACGTTTTCTTGCCCATTTCGTTCCTGCTCGTCCCTTCACCACTGCATACTCACTAACATTGAAAAGAGTATATTTGTATCATACAGTAGCAGACATCTGTGTTCTTTCTTTCTTTTTTCCTCTCAGCACCACCGAAGAGCGTGGAAACGAAGAAGTTAAATTAAACAAAAAAATTTAATATAGAACAGGTTAGGTACGAATTTCCAAGATTACATGTAAGCTCCATAAAAAAACGAGAAAACTTAATCGAAAATTCTCTACTTAAGCACCATAACTAGCATTTATTAGTTCTTGTGTGGCGAGTGCGTTACGTTAGAGGGTGGCATGTTTAGTCCAATAAACGAAGGTGTGGAATTGCCGTAAAAAAAAACATCCTGACTTTTTGATATATTATGTAATTGACTCCGCTAATTATAAAAAAAATAGTCAAAAAATTATCAGTGTCTCCAAATATTGCAAACATAAAGTTTATTTGCGAATTTTTTGGAAAAACACAAAAATCTCTTGAATAAAAGTACGTAAAGCAAAATGGCTTGTAACAATCAAAAGGGCATGTAGAATTGCACAAGAAAATATCTTTTGTTTAATTTTGATAAGTGCAAAATCTGGAAAAAACTATTAAGATAACGGTAATGTGATTTTGCAAACGAGATGACGGCAGAGAGGTGGTGGTGGCCAACTGGGCCTCCCTTCCAGCCCCACCGCCACGGTCAGCTGTGTATAGATACTACACATATACATACATTTCACGGCAAGGCAGAGCAGACGCCTTGCTATACATATACCTACTGTCTCATGTGTTTATCTTGCGTCTGTTTTCTTTAAGCTTTTGTGCTTTTTAAAATCTGATTAATTTTATTTAAAAACCTATCCACTTTAGCACACCATTACTTATTATAATCTTATATTTAATGGTATTACCAGTTTAAAAAAAGGATCAGTGTCTAACTTACTCTCAACGTATCGCGAAGTAAAATCATGATAAAAAGATGTTGAATAGGTTTTTTTTAACAACTTCTAACTATTTCCAACTATCAGAGAATAGGTGGACAAGCATTATAGGTTACATGGGACTGATTGTGTTAAATTTGAATATGTTAACGACGTAATATAAGTGCTCATAGTCACGCGTATTTGTTTACGAAGGGTTAAGCTTGAATTAAGTAGCTTTAAATGTAAATAATCAAATTTTTTTCAAATAATGCCGTTGGTCGAGCGTATGTGGTCACTAAGAAATGACTACGCAGGGTATACATAATTTTTTGAATACACAAGCGTTCTGTAGGCTTATTGTATTACGGGAAATTTATTTATTAGAATGTGTATCATTTAATAAACAACGCACAAAACTGAGTAGTCACAGTATTGAACGATGATGCACAAAAGCTGAAAAAAACGTACGCAAAATAAACACATGAGACGGTAGGTATAAGTATAGCAAGGCGTTTGCTCTGCCTCGCTGTGAAATTTATATAAATGTGTATTATCTATACACAGCTGACAGCAGTGGTGGGGCAGGGAGGGAAGCTCAGTAGGCCAACGCTACCTCTCTGCCGTCATCTCGTTTGCAAAATCACATGACCGTTATCTTAATAGTTCTCTCAAGATTTTGCACCCATCAAAATTAAACAAAAGATGTGGTCTTGTGCAATTTTGTATGCCCTTTTGATTAGTGCAAGCCGTTTCGCTCTACGTATTTTCATTCGAGAGACATTTGTGTTTTTCAAAAAAATTTACAAAAAAACGTTATGTTTGCAATTTTTGGAAGCACTTATAAACTTTTGACTATTTTTTTCGCCATCAGCGGAGTCGATTACATTATATGTCCAAAAGTCAGGTTGGCATTTTTTAGGGCTATCTTAGACCTTTGTTTATTGAGTCATGATGTTACAGGGTAAGAGCTCGACCCTACCTAGACATTTAAGTGTGTCTATATGCATATGTGCACGTGCACGCACACACACACACACACATATATATAGTATATTTCTGTATTATAGAGTTGTAAAATTCAGAGGGGGGGGTTGCCCCTCCTGCTCCCCCCACCACCTCTTGGCTTCCACTGATTCCTATAGCTTCCCCCTGTTCCCCTGCAGCTCCTTCTTATACTTTTTCTTATACCTTCCCCAGTTTTATCGCATTATTTAATACAATTGGTATGTTTGATAATGCAGTGAATGAAGTTGTTAAGCATTATATATAAATTGTTACAAATGACTTAATTTCATTTGACTATAACAAGAAATTTTGTTACAAATTTTACCAACCAACGATGATTATTTTAATTACAAACTCAGAAATACTTGTTTAACTGCTGTGCTCTTACATAAGCTTTTCCACAACTTCGACAAATATTTTTTTTAGAGTTTTTTTCATGAGTTTTTAAATGTCTCTGTAAGTGATCATTTGTTTTGAAACATTCCTTGCAATTCATGCACTTCAAATTTTTTTTAACGTTTTGGCGTTCTTTCTTGTAACGCTTGTCGATTTTTCTCTCTAATATGATAATGTTACATTAATCACTTACAAAAAGCTTTTTTTTTGTGAATTTTTTTGCATGATGATAGACTATCTTGATCTGAAAGTTTTAATTTACATGTGTCACAATTTGTTAAACTGATTTAATTTTGCATCCATGATGGTGTGTCTGACAACATTTTACATAAAACAAATTGTATATAATTTTATAAATCTGGGGACTAAAAGATACTGTTATTTTCTTTTTAATAAAGAAAAAAATTTGCAAGAATATGTAAAAATAGATATAAACCTGGAATAGCTTTTTATTGCGTCAAAATCTTATTCCTAACAATATGCTCAATTTCGAATGTATTTTGTGATTCAGTTAAGAAAAAAATTTTTTTTGGGTTCCTACATCTGGACAATGCAATATATAATTGCCCATAAGAAAATAATGGTTTT